TGCCTGATTTAAGGATTTCTCCTTAAGAGCCAACAGCACTCTGAAAAAATTATGTTGAGTCATTGGCTCGTATTGGTCTAAGGGATATCCCGTGGCCAATATACGCTCAAATTATTTCAGGAGTAAGGCAACTCAAGCTTTGGCACTACAAAATATATAATATTCCTAGGCACACTTGGCTGGACACCTCCACTACTATCAAACGCTAGTCCCCAGGTTATGAAAGTATACTATCATAGCCATGTTAACACAGATTACACTTATTACTGACACAAACATAAAAGCTAAACAGTTAGAATGGTGAAACAGGGACACCCAAGTTAGCCATGAAAATTTCTGCATGTAATAAGTACAATATAAATACAAAAATTAATGAATTGATAATAACGAGTGATCAGTTAATGGAGTTCAGGACTTAAGACACACAACTCAGATATTGAAGCTGAGGGCCAGATACAGTTATCTTTGAGGGTACATGAGTTTCATCAATCGAAATCACAATAGGTGCCTGGTGGACAGAGAGCATGAAAAGCAGTTAACTTAAAAGAAGACCCAGTTCCAAGGTTCTCTGGATTGGAGGCATGACACTTCGGTGTCTGGTCAAGAATAATCCACTAGAGAACTCACTTATCCCAGTTCGTAGGTCAATGCTCCCCTCAGTCCATGGTTATTCGGCTGTAGTTGACCACAAATCTAGTTAGCTATGCCTCTGATTGCGATTTGATCTGGTACAAGTTGACTGTCTCACAAGCGAGGAAACACAAGGATATAGTGACACAGGAACTGCATAGGAACCCAACAAGACTCTTGGAGATTGTGGTGCACGCTGACACTCTCACAGGTCAGGACACAAGAACTGCATCAGAGCCCAACAAAGCTCTTGGAGACTGGGAGTTCTCTGGAAAATTTATATCTCACATAGGTATTTTCTGCAATTGTCCACTAGTCCTGAAATCACACTCGTTGTCCATAGTGTAGGTGCTGCTCACTCCACTCAAAATCTCCCAACTGTATTGGGAACCTTATATTTTCAAATTTAACCTTACAGGTGAGAGATTCATTATTAATGAAGCTAAAAATTTCAATGCCAAATTACCGCTTAAACGCGTATGAATCTCCTCCCGCTTTATTCGGGTAGGCAGGTAATTTTTCCTCTTAAGGATGTTGTCTGTAAGAGTTATACTACATGGATCAGAATCCAAAAAAAAAAAATCTCAGACACTGTTATAATAGATAACCACTGCGATTACAAAGTAAAATGCAGTTCAGTGTCACTGTGTGTTAATGTCTGTTGTGGATTAGGTAGGTAGGTAGTAGGTGGAAAGTTGTACCCTACCAGAACATCGCACAAGCGATAAACACCCGGTGACACAAAGTGCCACCATGCGGATGAGGATCACCCGTGGAAAGGTCCCGGAAACCTCGTTCAATCGTTAGGCCATATTTAAAGCCCGGCTATATTTTGGGCACCCGGCAAATGCCATGGTGGGGCTTCAAAATAACTAAAAATTGCATCCGGCATGGGGACGACGCTTAAAGATTATGTCTTTTTTACGGGGCAAAAACGAAAGGAAAAATTGCACATTGATAGAACTATATTTGATTTTGGAAATCAGAATTTCAGTTTCCTTTTTAATTCTAGCCAGATACACACTGGGGCGTTAACAACAACGGCTGCTAGTGCCGGTGGGAAAAGCGCTTGTAATCAGATTCAAGAAAAAACACAAGAAGGCCAAAAGCGCATAGAGAGAAGTGTGCTACATACAGTTGTCAGAGGCCTCGGACATGGAATGGGAGGGACGAAGAGGAAAATGTGAGAGATCTCATAGCTGAGTGCGTTTGATTAGTGGCGTCATATGTACCCAAGGGAATTAACTGCGCCGTTATTGATCTCTGCTTCTTTCCTGTAAAGAATTTATTTCCCCTTTCGGGTTGACTTTCTCTGAGTAGTGTGTTAGTTATTAGTACTGTTTCCTTCCCCTCTCGCGGCTTCTATCTAAAGTTTGATAACTCTGAAATTAGAAAATTTCAGTCCGGATGGCAGACCAATGCAGCAAATTCTAGATACCCTGTTCTTCTTCGTGTGTCTTCTCGCTTATACCAGGCTGTAGCCCGGTGTTTTGGTTTTCTGTATTAGTCTAGCGAAGTGGTCTCCAGATTTTTTTCAGGCGGCGCCTCCTTTGAGTAGGCCTATGTGGTACGACCCCCACCCTCTCTTGAACATTTGGCAAGACTGTGGCAGCTGCATCGAAGAACTGAGCACGCGTGGAAATGCCTAATGTGCAGTGACGTTGATTGTGAAAATAAAATATAATTGCAAGACCCCCCGCCCTCTCCAATAGAGTATATGGTGAGACCCCCCCCCCCCCCCACGCCCCCGCCCCTCCCCGCCAAACATAGCTAAATGGGATTGAATTAAATGCAAGTGTTGCTATCTATATTAACCACTGAACCGATCGCTTTCAAATTTTCACACTACGTAGCTTTAGACTCAACGCGTGTTTGTGTGTCAGAAAATCGCACAAACTAGGAACGACGTAGCTCCAGCAACGATTAAATCATTATTTGCCCAGATTTGTTTTAGTTGATTGGCCACCTTTGACTGCGTGTGTAACACTAAACTTCGAATTATTTTATGATTTTGTTTTTACTTGAGTCTTTGGTAGTGTAGTTGTAAGTAATCCGCCTATCAGGCAGGTGACCGGCGTTCCATTCCTCGGTAGGTGAAATATATTTTAATTGGGCGGCTGGCACGTTGTGTTGTGGTTTATTGCTAGGCTGCGATATCTACGCCTTTTTTCGCTAGGTTTTGGGGTTTACAGCTAGCCTGCGATAGCGACGACGTGATGCTCAATGTTCATGTCACAGGTAATCTCCGTTCGCCCTTGAGAGGGTGGTTGGTACGTTGTGTTGGGGTTTGCAGCTAGGTTGCGATATCTTACCCAAACTTTTCAGTCTTCGGTAGTATAGTTAAGTATTCCGCCATTTACGCGGTGACAGGTGTTCGATTGCCCGCTAGGTGCTAATTTTTCTTTTTCCCTTAAAAGGGCGGTTGGCACTTTGTGTTGTAGTTTACAGCTGGACTGATATCTGCGCCTTTCGCCCAAAGACATCCGATTTCAGTTAAGTCCCAATAAGCCTCCCCGCAACACTTCAAAACTATTCTTTGATGACAGAAACTGTTAAATAAGACGGCTTACAGTCCAGTTTAGTTTGGGTGGACAATTAAAAATCGTCACTTGTGAGGGGGAAAATGACGGGTGCGGGGTTTATTTTTATTTTTTTAAATCCCGGAATATTACTGTGGGATCAATCACTGGTTATGTGATTTTTTTTTTTTATGTCGGGGGCACAGTAATGACCTTTTTGTGTATGTTTGTGTGAAGGTTGTGGTGGTAGTGGTAGCAGTAGTACTGGTACTCGATGGGTGATGTGGCTGCTGTTACACTGGTCACATGTACTTCTCAGTACAGATTAATGCTACCCAGTTTAGTCTGGATGGACACGGATGCTAAGCTCAATTTAATCACAATATTTCGTCAGGCGGTGACTTTCCCATCCTTCGAAGAGGATGATATGATTGGGGAGGGGGGTATGGGTAAGGAGGATTGATGCCAGACACTGTTAACTGAGAGAGCTTAAAATATTATTTTAAAGCTCTCATTTCTTAACTATTTCGGTTTTAATAATTTCGCCTGATGATGACTTTTCAATCCTTTGGAGAGGGAGATATGATGAGGGGAAGTGGGGGAGGGTTATAACAGACACTGTTAGCTGAGATAGCGTAAAACTTGATCTTAAAGTTCTCATTTCTTGAATATTTATACTTTAATACCGCTTCCTCTTCAATTCTCATTTATTTTTTCTTGCCAGTTTGTTGTTCATTGAGAGGTTTTACTTTCAGCTGTTTAAGCACAAAAGATGTTTTAGCCTGCGATAAACAAATAATTTTTTCACACTTTAACACTGCACTTTAATCGACCACTAATTTGACCATTCACTTATATGTTGCGTGTTCAAGGGTCGGCGTATCAGACTATCTCTGTATTTGTGCAATGGCTGATATTAACCATATTAGATACATACGTGCGCTTTCTATTTTCTTTTCCAGTTCATTCTGGGCCACAGCAACGTTTTTTAACATTAGATGTACAAACTGCTGACGAACACAAAACAACCTTGGCTTTTTGTTTTATAAATTGTAAATATAAATAATCAAAGCATTTTAACAAATGTAAATATCATGGATTATTACAAGTACAATTAAAACTCATTTTCAAAAATTGCTTGACGTACCCCTGGATGTTGAGACATAAAACAAAATCTCATACAGATTGGCAGACCCCAGATACCCCCCCCCCTTTTTCCCCTTTTTCCACTTTAACTGTGGCACCTGTAACGGCTACAACCGTCCAGTGTAACCAACAGTTCTGTGGAGATAAGGACTGAAGGTTGTTAGTGTAAACCGAGGTTGTTTGTATGGCTAGTTGTGTTAGTATAGATGGCAGTTACTGGTTACAAAATGTATCTAAAATTGTGAGGGTAAGGTTTTGAATAGTGCCATACCACCAGTAACTGTCTGATTGTACGTTAAACCACGTCTGACTTTAGTAGCTAAAGTCGGACGTGGTTAAACATTCCTTACATCCTTTTTAGGACGTAATTTTTTGTTATTTGAAGCCCCACTCTGGCTTTTGCCAGGGGCCGCAATATAGGCAGGCCATAAATATGGCCAATTGTCTGAACGCGGTTTCTGGGACCTCTCCACGGTGATCCTCATCCGCGTGGTGGCACTTTGTGTTATCGGGTGTGATGTCCTGGTGGGGTAGAAAGTCAGTCAGTCAGTCAACATTCACTTCGGGAGAAATCCTTTCCTGTCACCGGGCGGTCTCCTGCCCCTATGTTGTGATCACGTGACAGGGCGATCTTGTCGGTGTGGAGGTCAAGTTACGCCCCGGATTGCATCAAACGTTGATGGCCGGTCTGTTGGTGTTGATGTTATGGAGTCCTTTGATTGCGATGTTGTGGTCATCGGCGCTGGTCTGTCCGGTCTTTCGGCCGCCTATTATCTGGCAAAGAAGGACAGGGGTCTCAGAATAGCTGTTCTTGAAGCAAAAGGTTAGCAGCCTGGTTTTTAAACTGAAAGCTAGACAGCTGTTTGGCATTCATTCACTGAAAATATTTAAAGAAATTAAGTTTTAGTTTTATATTTGTTCTTCTTTTATGACATAAGTAGCCAGCTTGAGCCTCCATCCCTATATGAATAGGACGTAGTTTTTTTTTTTTTTTTTTTTTTTTATTTTAAAGCCCTCACCACGACTGTCAGGGGCCCTAAATATAACCTACTTTTTCTTCTCCGACTTGCGTCTGGGTGATTCTCATCCAAATGGTGTCACATAATCGTTCATTTTCATTGTACAGTCCTAGTGACTAGTGGGGTTGAACAGCAGTCAGTCTTCGTTTACATCCGCCTCAGTATGGGGCAATTTTTTTATATTTTAAAGCCCCATCCGACTGTCGTCGGGGGCCCTAAATATAAACTACCTTAAACTTAAACTAGGTTCTATGACTTGCGCCCAGGTGATTCTCATCCGATTGGTGGCACTTTGTGTCATGGGGTATTTATCACTGGTTGTGTGACCCTGGTTAGTGTTAAACTTTAGTCAGTCATCGTGTTCACTGGTTGTATATGCTGTGGAAAGTTCTGGTTTTTTGTCCAACTCAGGAATGTAGTCTTGCTTTAGAATCTGAGTGTTGCATGTAACAGACAGTAAAAACTGACAGCATATGATTAATAGTAACCTCAACAGTCAACATATTGCATCTCAGACAGTATTTTAACTCTGCCTGGACCAAACCCTCTCAAGATAGCCATTTTTCCCTTTAGCCTATTTTCTCACGGGTAGTTTCTTGTCTGCACCACAAGGAGGTGCCAGTTGGCTTTTGAGATCATGGTATAATAACAGGCTACTAAATTTTGCTTTTCATCCTCCTAGGAGAGCTAGCTGCCCCAAATTCTGCTGGCTGCAGTGCCAGGCGTGACCAGACTAATGTAATAAGATCTAACAGTCTCTCAAAATCAATACTACACGGCTCAGTAGAGGAAAAGAGACAGACCAAGAAATATTAGGATACAAAACTTGACTGACTGGACAGGCCTTAGGCATAGACTGACCGTGAAGTCAACTGCATCTGACCGTCAAAGGTTGAGGATTCTGATCAGACAGTTAACAGCAAATGATGACCCAATGACACGCAGTGTTATAGGATAATGATGATGAACCTGAACAGCTTTTTCCGTAATTCAGATGTGAAATTGTTTTGTGTTTTTATCATTGGATGCAAGTTTAAGAGAGATCAATGGGGATAGAAGTGAGGAAGAGAGTTTATTTAAGATAAAATAGAAAGAAGTAAGAGAGATCATTGGGGAAATAAATGAGTAAGAGATCATAAGGTTGTACTCCTCTTTACATGCTATAAAATATGTACCCTACAGGCTTCAAAATATGTTTGTAGTTTCCCAATATGCTGACTTAAGAACCAGCTCAACATATGTTGTGATTTTAACAATAGTTCCCAATATGCTGACTTAAGAACCAGCTCAACATATTTTGTGATTTGAACAATAGTTCCCAATAAGCTGACTTCAGAACCAGCTCAACATATGTTGTGATTTTAACAGACTCAGAAAGCATGCTGAGAAAGGGGGAGAAGAGCATGAACCATGCTCAGTGACAAGTAGTGGCAGGTATCACTTTATACTTCCCCAGTAGTTAATATGCTTTGCATATGTTTTTCTAGGAATGCATATGTGTTGGGGAATTAACAGGCAGATAGATTGGTTTTTGCTGCACCTGTGGGTGATTCAGTGATGCATGAAAGTCTAAATGTGGTAGAGAACTTTGGAAACAAGTGAACAATGCTGAAGTGCTGATAAATCATTATGGTCAGGAGAGAATGGTGCAGAAGCGAGTAGCCGGTGAATTGCTCTGACACACTACACTCACAGCAAAGGCAAGGTGGACATTTAAGCATACTAGTATCATTGACATGACCTGCGATATGCTGTCGATATAGTTGTTATCACTAAAAATGAAAGACAGCAGTAAGAAGTGATAGATATAATTGTAACAGAAAGTGAAAACATGGGTCTTAGTTTGAACAGCAGAAAAACCGAAGTAATGATAATTACAAAGAAAACTGACCCTCCAAAATATAACATCAGAGTGAATTGGACAAACCTCAAGCAAAATGTTATGTTTAAGTACTTGGGTACCCTGATAACATGTCAGATAAAAGTTGTATTATGGAAGTTAAATGTCAGTTGAGATGAGAAAGGGAATTCTTAAAAGTTATATAAATCCTATATTCAAAAACTAATGTGAATCATGGACAGTTAGTAAATTAGCAAAAACTTTTTTGGAAGCTGCAGTAATGTGGCTTTAAAGATGAATGTTGAGAATACCTTTGGACAGATAAACAAGAGTAATGAAGATATCAGCGGCGTCGGTGGCTAAGGCGTTGCGAGTCCGACTCGTAAGCCAGCATACCGCGATCGAAACCCACTGCAGGCTGCGTGGATTTTTGTCGTGGTATGGGACGTCGCAGGTCGACCCAGCCTAAAATGGGTACCAGGATGGGCTGTCCTGGGAAAGTAAAGACAGCCGGTGTAATGCTGACCACATTACCCTCCGAGTGCTGATGGTCTGTAAAAATATGGGACGCTCTGCCCATATGCCCGATGCGCCGAAAGGCGTGAAAAGGGATCTAAAAAAAAAAAAAAAAATTAAGATATCTTGAAAGAAACTTACTCAAGAAGAGAACTGAAGGCCCACATTAGAAAGAGACATTCTACATTCTTTGATCATGTGATGAGAAGGAGAAAACTTGAGTACATCGTGATGGTAGGAAAGTTGAAGGAGAGGCAGAGGAAGACCAAGAACAGATGCTGGACAGTTTGACATCATGGCATGAAAGATTGATTATCTGGGTCAGAGTTTATTGAAAGGTTGTGGGTAGACATGAGTACCAACGCAACATGGCATGAACTTCAAAAAGAAGAAGAAGTATCATTGACATTAGAACTCTATTTGCTGCTGAAGATGTGAACGGAATGCTTATGGGAATGTCCATAGTGCATTTATATTAGTTCTTAACTCAGCTGTAAATTTGCTGAAAGTAATAATAGTATTTTTTGTTTTGATCAGATAGAGTTGGGGGTAGAACATTAACCCGCCAGCTGACAGCTGCAGATGGGACCAGAGATTTTTGGGACCTCGGTGGTGAGTGGGTGGGCAGGTAAGCCCTTTTATTGTGTGAAATACATCCCTGTGTGGGTTCCAGGGCCCCATTGTGATGGGGGGGGGGGGGGGGGGATTTATAGACCCACTATCTCCTTAGCAAGCATGTCGTTGGTGTCAACTGATTAGGAATCTCCTTTAAAGTCGGCAAGATCAGTAACCAAAAATCTGCATACAATTAAGCCAGAGCTGTAAACCGGACGTGCAAGCAGAACTCAATTCTGGAAGAAGACTAAAGTCAAGAAGTGGGAGAACAGCCAGAACTTTTTGCCAGAGTTTACAGCCTGTGAACTTGAAGAAGATGAAGAGTTTAAAATACACAGATCTGAAATACAAAAGGAAGAGAAGTTTTCATAGCACTGGGCAATTTTTGGAAGTCAAAGAAAGTTACAAGTAACACTAAACTTGAAATGTTTAATTCTAATGTCAAGTCTGTACTGCTTTTTGCATATAAACTACAAACATTCATTAACTGGTGTCTGAGCAGAATAGAAGGAATTAAATGGTCTGAAAGAATGGCTAGTGTTGAGCTTTAGGAGAGAATTAAATAAATTCAAATCAACAAGAAAAAAAAATTATATTTGTATACAATCATCAGGATTTTGTGTATTTAAAATTAAGTCATTTAATGCTGCAGTCTTAGTCAGGAAGTCTTACTTAGATCTGCTGACTTAGGAATCACTCTCTGTTAACCATTTTGCTCCAGAAACTAATTGGGACAACAACAGAGGATTTGGGAATTCTTGAAAAATCCATTTTAAAAAATTAAACATTTTAACACATGTCACTAAAATATATTTATTTTATTTATTTATAAATATTTTAAAAACAGTGAACAGGTGTACTCAATAAAAATGTTTAGAGTGAAGAATTAGGTGTATTACATTCCTCTCATTCTAAAACCATTTATTGGTTGACCTTTACCCTGACCCTGTTACGTGGTCAGAATTCTAACAGTAAGGCAACTAAACAAAATAATGGCTTTTAAAAAAAGCATTCTCCACTGTTTTTTCTTTTTAGTAAATGTAATATCTGGACCCAAAAAACTGTTTTCCCCGCTGTACCCTTGTCGGGCAAAAAAACAATTTGCGGCACACCTGCTATCGAAGCGGTTTGAATACTTGGGGAGAAAAGGGAAAAAATATGGGGCAAATTTATTGTTTACTTGTCTTTAATGCAATGAATGAAACTGTTTGGATGAATTTTTCATTATTTCCCTTAGGTTTATGGGAAGTTTAGTTAATTGTACCCTCACATCACTTGAAGGTTGCTCCTGTATCTGTTTTTTATTTTAATGTAAGCGCACATTAGGAATGCATTGCAGCTTTGCAAATAGCATTGTTTTTCTGAATACAACTGTATCCATAACTCTTCTTATCTTCCTTTATAGTTTTTCTGTTTCAAACTGCTGTCTTTGCTGATCTCAAAACTTTGAAAAATATGCTTGTGGCACTGTGAATGCCATTAGCTAGGCTTCTTGGAAAGGAACCACTGCAGAAATTAAGATTAAGCACTATTTATAGAATTGTGTAATAAACAGATGTGCCAGGTTGGTGGCCATCAGGGCAAAAGGGTTAAAAGTCCTGTCTAGAAACAGTCTTCTTTATCAGTATAAACAAACCAAGTTTACATTTATCAGTGTAAACTGGTCTAACATTGGACCATATTTTAATGTGCTATAAATGTCCAGGTTAATGAGAACTTTGTTTCCTTTTGTTACATTTACTTAGTCAGTCTGCTGGTTACCCTGAGGTGTAGAGGTTTGCCAGAGCGATCGCAGACTTCTCTATCAGCAGTTTTCTTTTGGCTTTGTTGTTATTGCAGTCCCTTGTCAGTCAGGAGCAGCAAACTCTTGGCCATCCTGGTGGTGTGGTTCCCTGGTTCCTGCCTCCCATGCCTGCCTTGGTGGTCAATTCTCTCTCATTCTGCATACAGTCTCAACCATTGTAACTGAAACAGATGCACTCGAGTTTGTAAGGCCTGAGTTTCAAGATCATGACCAATTGTCTGGTTGTGAACTTTGTCACTTGGCCCACCTCTCTCAGATACCTCATTTCTGAAGCCTGAAGCTGGCTTCTGTGAGCTGTTTTCATTGCCCACAGTTTACACCTGTAGGTCAGGACTAGCACATAGGTAGAGCGGTATACAGCCATTTTTGTTACATTTGCTTACTTTTGTGTGTGTATGTAACATTTTTTGAGTATTTTTTTTTACTAGTCTTTATAAACTTTGTTTGAATATATTTATGTAGACCACAGCCACATATGCAGTATCTTTTGAAAAAATTCAACATTAACACATTCAACCCTGTATCACCACATGATGGACGCGAGACAACAAAATCTCCAGCTCTGTCCTGGCGCACCCACTGTGATCTACTGCAGTTTTCTTGGAAGGTATGTAGACGTACAATTGTATTCCTTGGACAGCCACAAAAGAGCAAACCAGTTGTTTTGAAAGAGTTCAGGGCTCAAAGACAACTTATCACAAACATCAGAAAAAGACAGTTGTCCATTTTTTCTTCATGTTATGAGAGGAAGAAAACTGGAACATGGTGGGAACACTGGAAAGATCTATGGGGGAAAAAGACACAATGTGGGATGATTTTTCACAGCCTTATTTCATGGCATGGAGTGGTGTCAGCACACAAACTTATGTGCTGTTGAAGATTGCAGATTGTAGAGAGGCATGATCGCCCACCCAGTCAGCAAGGCACTTTTTTTTTTTAAATCCTTTGGCATTTGTGTTTAAAAAGGTTAACTGTATTCATTTTTATAATTTAGTCCATTTTGATCTCTGAACTGTATGAGATTATTATTAAGTCAATAATTTAATCCATTCTGATCCCCAAACTCTAATAGATTTTTGTTTATATATTTAAAACTTAATCCATTCTTGATTTGTGAACTGTGCTATATATATATATATATATATATATATATATATATATATATATATATATATATATATATATATATATATATATATTGTGTATATATTTTTGTGTGGATGGATGAATGTATGTATGTGTGTGTGTGTATACATTCATACACATACATATATGTATATATTAGGGCTGTACCGAATAGTGATTTTCACTATTCTGCCGAATACGAATAGTGGGACCAACTATTCGGCAGAATACGAATAGTGTATCATCATCATCAGGTGCCTTGCCGACTGGTGTTGGCGATTTTGCCTCGCCACATTCTGCGATCTCATGCAGTATGTATCAGTTTGTGTGCTGATACACCTCCATGACATGCAACAAGACTGTCAAGCATCTTCTCTCGATGTCTTACTCTATCTCTCCTTCCACAATTCTTTCCAGTGGTCACCACATGTTCCATTTTCACTCTTCTTATAAGATGGCCAAAAAATGATGACTGTCTCCTTCTGATATCTGCAATTAGTTGTCTTCGGGCTCCCGCCTCTTTCAAAACCTAGTGGTTGCTTTTTTTTGGCTGTCCAAGGTATTTTAAGCATTGTTCTGTAAAACCACATCTCTGAGGCCTCAAAAAATTGTTTGGCCTGGCTACCGATTGTCTAGCCATATGTTAAAACTGGATGTATGTAGCAAGCAAGACAAAGATAATTTGAATAAGATGTTCTTTTTTTTATATAAAATGCAGTTTTTACCTGTCCTATTTTGTTTTTTATTTTAGTAACTAGCTGTACCCGGCCACGCGTTGCTGTGGCATAGTTTGGCTAAATGGAAATGAAAGAAAATAGAAATCGCACGTGTCTAATACAATCTTTGTCGGCTCAGATATAGAGATAGTCTTTGATCCCTCCCCCCCCCCCCCCCCCCCCCCACAACTAAATCCACCTACTACTATCTCCCTCATCAAAGGTTTTTGGAAAAGAAAGACAATGGAAATCGCACGTGTCTAATATAGTTAATGTCGCAATCATTCTCTGCACAGATATAGAGATAGTCTGGTTTTCCAACTTTATAACATGCACCTTATAATTGTGTCTTTATATTAGTGATCGTTTAAATGGTGTTATTAGCACAGTAACAAAAATGGTTATTTGGTTATCACATGCTAAAGCTGTTTGTATTTTTATAGGGGACGGAAGTAAAGCTACAACTGTACTTGTGAATAACAAAGTAAGTCGTAAAAAATAGAAAAGCGGAGGTAGCGTTAGTAAAATATAAACATATTAGGTAATGAGAACTTGAAAATCACGTGTAAAGCTCTTTAAGTTCTCTTAAATTTAAGTCATTACCCCCTCCCCTCCCCTCTTCCACCGACTACGGCTCTCTCCCTCTTCGAAGGATTTGAAAATCACTACCTGGCGATATTTTTTGTTGTTGCTGTAACTGACATTGACATCCCTGTCCATCTGGACTAAAATGGGGAGCAGGAATTGTAATAGGTAGTGAATGGGGCTAGTGTAATATTTACCACATCATCCTTCAAGTACCAGTACAACTACTACAACGACCACCACCACAGTAGCTAAAATAATGTCACTGCTATCTGTGTTACCATCGGAGTAGACAGAGAGTCGTGAGCCAGAAGATTTGGTTCCGCATGGCTAGTGCTGTCGCCACAGACTGGTCAGGTTAGGATGTATAATTTCACTTCCCGACAGAAGAACGCCATAACCTTATCGGTGGTCTTCACATGAGAGCACTATGGTGTAACAGCCCAAACCACAACTATTACTGCTGCTGCTACTTTAAGTGGGTAAAGCAGTTACTGTGACTTAAAGCTCTCTCAGTTAATAGTTTGCCCCCCCCCCCCCCCCCCCCCCCCCTAAATTCACTTACAACTCTTTCCCTCATTGAAGTAGTTGGGAGAAAAAAAAACACTTGAAAAGCAAATGAACACAGGAAAAAAACACCATTATTAGGAAATGAACGTCATGGTAAACAGCACAGCTTAAAATTCCAACGCAGATGAAATAACTAAATCTAAATGAAAATAAAATGAAATCTATGAAATTTCAGTGTAACCATGCAATCGGAAAGTTTAAAATGCAATCATAAGTATGCGAAATGGTCAAATTTAATTATCAAATGGTTTACCCATTTACTTGTCTTTTTTTTTTTTTTTTTTTATTAAGGCAACATGGCTAGTGCTGTCACCACGACAGAGCAGATGAGGATATTATTTTAGTCCAGGGTAAAAAAAAAATTTAACTACTGCGGATTCGAGCCCTGGTCTCCCGCACAGGAACCCAGTGTTCTAACCATTCGACCAAGCAGCCACTTAATCAGATCAACGAAAAGACAACTTAACTATTTTAAGTGTCTGGATTGGATTGGATTTTTTACCCCACCAGGACATCACACAAGCGATAAACACCCGATGACACAAAGTGCCACCATGCGGATGAGGATCACCGTGGAGAGGTCCCAGAAACCGCGTTCAGACATTTGGCCATAATGATGACCTGCCTATATTGCGGCCCCTGGCAAAAGCCAGAGTGGGGCTTCAAACAACAAAAAATAACGTCCTAAGAAGGACGAAAAGTAGATTTTAAGTGTCTGCAGTGTCCCGATTATAACACAACTCAAAACAGCAGGCAATTGTTTTCTCATAGACAGATATTCCAAATATAATAATGAAACGGCACAACAAAAGAAATCGCACGTATCTAACACGGTTAATGTCGCAGTCAATGTCTGCGCAGAGGTCGAGATAGTCCTGGATGCCTCTCCCCCCCCCCCCCCCTCTTTTTCCCTACCAATCCATCGGCTACTTTTCAACTCATCGAAGGATGTTTGAAGAAAAAAATACAGAAAATAGAAATAGTGTCTAATATAATTATTGTGGCAATCACTGCCTGCACAGATATAGATATAGTCTTGTTTGCTGTACCACGACCTACTCTATGTATTAGAGGAGGTGTTGGCTGCATGGCACATGCGCAATTACTAACGTGTCAATAATTAGAAATCACTAAAATTATAAATATTAGTTTCGAATATTATGGCTTAAATTGTGGTCACCTATCTCTAACAGTGACAGGTTGAATTTCAAACCATGATGGTTCAACATCCGGTATCAAAACAAACATATCCTGAAAATTTCAGCTAAATCGGTTCAGTAGTTTCCGAGTCTATAGGGGGCAAACAAACACACAAACATTGATTTTTATATATATAGATGCATCTTTCATCTGATTTTATCCATGTGCCAAATTCGCATTTAAATCATCGTTCGTTCAGGCGTTCGTTCGATGTAATTTAAATGCACCTCCATATTCTTGTTCGCAATATCTTCAATTTGATTTGGGAAAAGACACCCCGAAAGAACGAAAAAAGGCATCTCTCTCTCTCTCTCTCTCTCTCTCTCTCTCTCTCTCTCTCTCTCTCTCTCTCTCTCTCTCACACACACACACACACACACATACACACATACAGATACACTTTCAAGTTTCTTCATGCCTTCTTTAACACAACAGTAGCGTTGCCTAAATTTGTCGTAGCGGAAAAAACTGCCCCCGGTTGCGTGGTAACAGCGCCTGCTGACTTCTAGGCATTACAGCAGAGGTTCTAAAACTGGGTGCTTATGCCAGGGGTGCCGCGGCGAAAATCAAGAAAAGTCGGCTATAAATTGTGACATTATTAATGAGAGAGTTATTTCAGTCCATCGCAGTGTATGCAGAAATCACTATTCGTATTCGGCCCCGAAGGGAATACGAAGCGAATATTCGGTACAGCCCTAATATGTGTGTGTGTGTGTATATATGTGTGTATGTATGTGTATGTATATGTATGCATATATGCGTATATATATAATGCGTGCGTGCGTATATATGTATATATATATATATGTATGTATATATGTGTGTGTGTACACACATAAAAACATTCATACACATACATAGATGAATAATTTAACCACTAGTCCTTCATCTGTTCCATATCATTTTATTAATATATATACTGCTGTAAAACAATCTTCTCTTGATCCCTAACTAGTTGAAACGACTTCAGAAGAGACTGATTGGAGTTGATCTCAGAAATTGTGTTTATGCTTTGGAGTGGGATGGAATTAGTTTGGAACAGTATAAGGATGAGCATCTTTGGACACAAGGTAACTTTATTCACAGACTGCTCTGTGTTTCGGTTTTTTTATCTTACAACCACTAAAATGTTCTAAAATATTGTTTTTCTATTTTCTTTTTGCAACTAATTGGGGTTTTTCTTTTTTTTTTTAAAGTTGTCATTTACACCATAAACCACCCTCATTATTAATTTGTGTTTTTACCAGGTCATTTTACAATCAGCAATTTCTCCATTGTTTTCTTAACTACTCCACCAAATTATTGAAATCTTCAGCCTGCTGCAGAATCACTTTCAGCTGACTTTGAACCCTGGTATATCCAAATTATGAAATGGATTCATAACTTCTTAGCTGCAGGAGCTGACTGCTGCCTTTTAATTGCTAAAAATAATTGTTTTGTTTTATTACCTTACTTTTAAAATGTGTTATTTTCATATTACATTTCTCACACTTGATATTGACTTGACTGAGATGTTTCTAAAGACTCATTCTGTTTCTACTGTTAATAATGGTTTACCTGCAAATAACAGTCCTAAGATATCACCTTCATCGTCACTCTCAGCTTTTTTGCGTATATTGTCAGTGTGTGTGTGTGTGTGTGTGTATATATATATATATATATATATATGTATGCCCGGCTCTCTAGCGAAGTTGGTTAAACCTGACTTTCGCGGCGGCCGGGTGACGAACTCCTTGTATCCCGGGGGTAGGCAGAAAAGCCACATTTCTCCCAGATATACCTATATGGAATCAATGCCGAAGGGTTGTGATATCCATAGTACCGAGCCAAAGGGTTTACAACTCATGTTTCTGTACGTAAAAAAAAAAAAAAAAATATATATATATATGTATATATATATATATATATTATATATATATATATATATATATATATATATATATATTTATGAACATTAAGGGAGATAACACATATACCTGTTTTGATGTGCTTGATATTACTCATATGCAGCTGTACCTAATGCTTGTAAACTCTCACAAAATTTGATAAAAACTCCATATCTTTACAGCCAGCCTCACAGAATTTGTCAGTTTGTAAACAAAGACATCATAATTGCTTTTTTTGTTTCCTTTCTGGGCAGTTAGTTATACTGGTTGTTCATGTTAATAAAAGATAAAAAAAAAGGTAAAAGACTCTTTTCTGCACCATTAGAGGTATTGGGCCTTGAGGGTTAGACCTATATTTTATAGACCAATTGGCATTTGGTGGTTGATGTGATCGGCACCACACTGGCCACCTTTACTCTCCAGGACTGCACCTAGTACTCACTCAAGGTGGGTCGGCCTGGAAGCCACAGTCACTATTGAAAAAAGTTTGGCTCCATCAGCACCCAGACTCACAACCTTCAGATCTGCAGGTGAACGTCTAGCACTACACCACGGCGACTCCCTGTGGCAACGTTGACGATGGAGGCTTCAGATGCTGAACTAGATCTCATCCATAAAACTGAAAGTACAAGCTTCGTCAAATAAGTAATCAGACTGATTTTATTATGGCTAAGACAAAAATGCCATCTAGGAAGCACAGCATGGAATCCAAAGAGGCAACCTTCACCTATGATCTGGCATATAAGCCGATAAGCAGACAACAAACAAGCCGCTATTTTGTTGACCTAGTCAGAGGTGCATGGTAACGTAATCAGCATGGAGCAAAAAGCTAACATTAAATTATGTTTAAAACTCTGAAAAAGCGCCATTGAGACAGTTGAATTGATGCGACAAGTTTATGAGGATAATTTTTTATCTGGTGCACAGATTTTTGGGTGGTATTCACGATTCTAAAGTGGTGTGGAAATTATTATAATGCAACTAGACCTGGACGCCCAATTTCTGTTTGTAATGATGAACTCATTGTAAAAGTCAGAGAACTGATACAAGAAGATCACTATTTTACTGTCAGGATGATGACAGATAAATCTGGTATTATTAGAGAGACCCTTCTTAAAATTTTAGTGCAAGACGTTAGCAAGAAAAAAGTTGCTTGCCGGTTTGTACCGCATTCGTTGTCTGATGACCAGAAACACATAGAGACATAATCAAAACAGGAATTGTTGGCCCCCAAAATAAGTGTGTGTTCTCAACCATCCACCTTATTCCCCAGATTTGTCTCCCTGTGATTATTTTCTATTCCCAAAATTAAAGTTACCATTGAAAGGACGCTTCTTTGATGATACTCATGACATCCAAAGGGCCGTAACATCAAATTTAAGGACCATAGCAACAGAAGAACTACAGAGGTAATTCCAGTGTTTGTTAGATCGTGCCAGTTACTGTATCAATGCACAAGGGGCTTACTTTGAATAAAATACAGGTTATATCTTCAAATGTTGATTATTTTAATTTTTATGGAATTAGTCTCATTACTTAATTGTGGGACCTTGTATAACTCATGAAAGAATGGAATGGAGGACTATTCTGCAAGCACTTTGTGGCATAAAACAGTACAGCAAAGTGGCAATGATGTCACTGGTTGATCATTCCTTTATCTTGGCATTTGTCCACTTTCAGGTGCTAAAGAGATTGTGGATGCAGCCTGTAAGTGCATGTTTGGGCTGGCCCCATCAGAGATGACCCTGCTCTACTTCTTGATGTATGTCAATGCTGCTGGGGGCCTGAGAATATTTCTTCATCCCAAGGAGTTCACCGGGCAGGAATGTAGAATCAAAGTAGGTGTGTCTTCTTTCCTTGTTAGCTGATCATTGTAGAAGCATTGTTAAACCATAAAGGACTCGTTATTATCAGGTGTTGTACCAGTAAGCATGGCTCAACATCTTACACTATCACCAGAATCATGCACCTGGTCCGTCTGTATTCTTGTCCTACACCAAGAGGCATCTTGAACTCTTTTGCCCCAAGAAGCTGGTTGACACTTCTGGTTGGCTCCGATTCCCCTAAATATCACTATTTTGTACTTGTCTGTAGTGACCTGTTTGTGACCTAAGTTTGTGCTTTATGTGATGCACTTGGCAAACAACATGCTGTTCTGCGGAGAGAGGCTGAGTCGTTCAGGAAAAAACCTGGTGCAATAAAGGCTAGCTTTTCCAATTAGTATATGTAGGCGCTAGCAATTAGTGATTACACTGGAGAGGGTATCATGTTACATTTTCCTCCTCATCATTTGGCTGTTGAGAGAATGCGGTCGCAGCTGGCATCATAGTGCTGGTAACTGGTAGTTTTCACATGTTACTGGTTTTTTTTGTGAGTGGCGTTTTCATGCAGCAAGTATTATTTTTGCTAAGTTAATATCATAAGTATGTGCTTGCGGGTCGTAAGCCGAGTTGCGTATTTGTAATAATTAGTAAACAGTAATAATAAATAGTAAAATAATTCATGTTTCCTTTGCAGTGGAAAGTGTTAGCGGTGATTAAAGCCATTACATGCATGCCTAGTCATTAATAGCGTCAATTCTCTCGACTTTAATAATTTCATTGTGTGAGCTTTCTACTTTTGCAGGGTGGTGTCCAGCAGATAGCCTCTCACTTGGTTCATCGAATAGGGAAAAAATATGTCTACGTCAGCCAGCCAGTGACACATATAATTCAGGTAATCACAATTTATAACAGTTACAGTGTGCTCGTAATATGTGTTACATTTTAAGAGATAAAACACAAGTTTTGTTTTTCGATCTGATATTTCTGGAGGACTGAAGAGATAAAACACAAGTTTTGTTTTTCGATCTGCTATTTCTGGAGGACTGAAGAGATAAAACACAAGTTTTGTTTTTCGATCTGATATTTCTGGAGGACTGAGAATGTTTTTTTTTTTTTGTCTTCTTCTTCTCAGTGTTCACTGGCTTTAAACTCTGGCAGGAAGTTCTGGTGTTTCATCCACTTCTGGACTTGAGTTTACAGATCTGGCTTATTTGTATGCAGACTGTTGTTGGTTTTTTGCCTGACAGGCTGCTGCACTCCAGCTTCGAAGGAAACAGCCCAGATTGGTCAACTTTTAAAACATGCTTGTTAGAAGACAGTCAGCTCTGTGGCTAAGTCCATGTGAACGCTTCGTAATGCCAGGGTGCCGGGTTTGATCCCAGCTGCGAGCCATGCGCCTTGCGTTGGTTTCGACAGTGGTATCAAACAAGCCGACCGTCCAGAAAGCAATGGCAAACTACTGCACGTAAATTTGCCTAGAGAAACCACACAACAGCCAGGGGCTGCTAGGGTTGGTTCTGCAATGTCCTGTAAAGGATACGCAACTAACTTGTTAGGAGACAGGGGGTCTATTCTCTCCCCCCAATAAGGAGCACTGGAGCCCCCACAGGGAGCTGAAAATATATCTTACGCTTTAACCCAGTGTTTCCTAAACTTTTCTTGGTCACTGCGCCTTTTTTTAAATTTAAAATTTTTCCACAGCCCCCTAACCTAAGTAAAAGTAGGACTACTCTTATGTAAGAGATAGAAAAAAAATACAACTCACGCATTTTTGAAATTTCTAAGCACCCCTTTGAAGAGGTTGTGGCTCCCTGGGGCCCCGTGGCGCACAGTTTGGGAATCATTGCTTTAACCTGAACGTTGTGATGTTCTAAAGTTAAAGTTGAGAGGATCTACTTCATTGAATCGGGTTACCTCCCATATAGCTTAGTCTGTCTGCACCAAGCAGCTAGGCGCCTGCTGAGAACATCTCATAAAGCACAAATTCCATAGCTCCAGCAATGGTTCCCTGGGGTCTCCTTTAAAGTTGCACACCTGAAATGAACTAAGTATCCATGAAACAAACCCATGACCTTCAGAGAGAGGCAAACGGCTTGACCACTTCACCACAGGGGACCCCTCCCCCCATGTTTTGTCTTTAATAAGTTAACTTTGTCAGTCGGTTCATTTTTCATGTTGTTATTTCTCATTATTTATCATTATTATTATCATTGTCCATATGTTACTGAGGCCCATAAGCAGAGCATCAGATTGCAAAGAGTCATGGAGACTCATGATTGCCAATGTCTGCCACAGATCTGATACCTGAAGAAAAAGCAGAAAAATGTTCACAGTTATGTAGATTCTTCTTAAAGTCCATGCTGTGTGGCGTTGGTAGTCATGTCTATCTACAACCTTTGTTGTACAGACATGACCTTTCTTTGCCAAATACTCACACATGCAAGAGCATAATATAAAATGAAAGCAGGGTAATGCCTTTGCAGATTATAGTGTTTTTACACAGACGTGGAAATCATACCCTTGATGGTGGCAAATATGACTAATGAGACCTGCTTGCATTAAGTAAAGAAGAAGCAAAGAAGTACAGATAATGTTCATTAGAATTAAATTACCTATTTGGTTACAGCGGCGTCCATGGCTTAGGCGTTGTAAGTCAGACTCGTAATTCCACTGCTGGCTGCGTGGACTTTTTATCGTGGTAGGTGCATCGCAGGTGGACCCAGCCTGAAATGGGTACCAGGATGGCTGTCCTGGGGAAGTAGAGACGGCCGGTGTAATGCTGACCACATTACCCACCTAGTGCCGGATGGTCTGAAAAAATATGGGCGCTCTTCCCATATACCCGATGCTCCTAAAGGCATAAAAAAGGGATCTGTTACTTACTTTATTTATTTAGTTACAAGCAAATTAATAGTAGCTTTTCATAAATTATTTGTTTACGTCTTCAGTCTATAGAAGGTGCGCGAATAGTGACCTCAAACCGTTTGGAGGTTCTTTGTCAGAGGGTCATCATGGCAATACCACCTCACCACGCAGGTCAGTACTTGTGACCATTTCCAGCTTTATTGATACATTAGCTGTGTATCTGTGTTTTTTATCTGCATTATTTCTATTTTGTTTCTCTATATTCCATTGAAGATGCATTGACTATGAAAGCACACGAGGCTAGAGAAAAGAGACATTCGGGCATGTCATAAAGGGCATATTGATTTATTGATTCACTACATTTGTCTGACTTTTACAAAATAGATACTTTGAATTTTTAGGAAGTAAAGATGATTTGATCATGTCTAGTCATCTAGGTTTTTTTTTTTTTTTTTACTCTTGATATAATGAAATTACTCAACATTAAAAGAGCTTGAGGTTACCTGCACAATCATAAAGATGGAATATCTTAGTCTGTGAATATGAGCCTCTAGATGGCACACTGTAAAAGTGGCACCACCTGTATCTTCAAAACTGATGCTGAAATCGAGGACAGGGGTTTTCAACCTTTTTTCTTAAGGTGTAGATAGGTAGTTGGGGTGGGTGGGATGGGGGACATTGTCACGTTCAACCAGCATCGCTGGAGTTGAAGCTTTAGGTTATAATTGTGACTATATTATGTGCACCATTGCATGCCACCAAGAGCCCTGAAAAGGACTCCTACTGTGGTGATGCCATCAAAGAGGACAAAACCAACTACTGTCCTGACAGTTGAGCCAATGGGCGACCCGGTGGCCAATGTGCTTTTTAGGCCCTCTCCTCCAAAGGAAGTAGATGTACAGTAGAAATAGATGGGTTTTTTGTTGTTGTTGTTGTATGAATAGTGTTGCAGATTATTTTATTTACTGTTAAACTGAAGGAAAAAAAATTGTGTGTTTATATAAGTACAAATTGGCTCTCCTGTCAAATCCGGACGAAGAATAAACAGCCGTGGACGAGTTAGTCAGAGTTCTCTCCCTTGGCCGCACTCCGAACAGTAATCGGAAAACAAACGAAATAAACGACACACTTACCTATCATCCTGCGGTTGCGTGTAGGGCTGCGTACGGTTTCGTGAAGCATTGTGAATGGTTGTGTAATCATCATCATGCGGTTGTTGGGTTACAGTTAAGGGTAGGGTTAGGGGTAGGGTTAGGGTTAGGGGTAGGGTTAGGGGTAGGGTTAGGGTTAGGGTTAGATGTTAAAATTTTGACGTAGGGTTTGGAAATAGTGACCGACAATCTGATGTTTGTGGGCGTGGCGCCACTTGAATTCTGCTAAATATGACGCCAATAGTGTGCGGCTGGTGCCCAATCGTTGGCGAATTGTGCGTTTCACCAGCATCCAGAGGCCCTCGATTGTTTGTGTGTGTATGGGACTGTGCGCGATTATAGGGAACTCCGGCGTCAAAATTGTCAAATCTAACGCTACAGCTAACCCTACCGCTAACCCTAATCCTAATCCTACTCCCTAGCCCTAACCCCTACCCCTAACCACGCAAATTTATCGATCATTAACGCATACAAATCGGCAAAAACCAACAAACACAACACACCCAAAAAAAAAACCTAGAATTGTCCTGCAGCGTCGAAAAAAAATCCAGATCTGGGGGAAACAACCAAGCATTGGCAGCCCTGATGTCGACGTGACTGTCTTCTTTGTTTCGTTGGCTTTTCCTATCACTGTTCGCAGTGCGGCAAAGGGAGAGAACTCTGACTAAGTCGTCCAAGGCTTTTTAGTCTTCGTCCGGATTTGACAGGAGTACCGTACAAATTCCCTCATTTTAAAAATTGCTTGACTCGTTCCTTTCAACTTCCTTGCTTCCTGATGGAACCGTGCACCCCTAGGTTGAAAACCACTGGTATAGAGAAAACAAAAAAGATAAATAAAGATCTAACTAGCAGATCTGCTTTTCATTGCCTAAGACCTTTATATCCAATTGTATGGAAATGACTATAACTCTGTGACCTGGGGACTAAATATAAGATCCTCTCAGCTTCCCACACCATACTCAGTTATTTACTGTCTATGTCAGCATAAGTGTACTTTCTCGAGTAGTTATCCCCAACACCTTTGTTGTCATATTGCTGGTGATCACAGTCAGTGGCCTATGTAATATTTTACCATTCTGAGCATGACAAAAATGTATATTGAACTTTAAGTTGCCATGACATATTCTACTCACACCTCTCATCATATATTCCCCCCACATCTGCCATCATATATTTTTCGCACAGCTGCCATTACATATTCCCCTCACAGCTGCCATCATATATTCCCCTCACAGCTGCCATCACATATTCCACTCACAGCTGCCATTACATATTCCCCTCACAGCTGCCATCATATATTCCCCTCACAGCTGCCATCACACATTCCCCTCACAGCTGCCATCACATATTCCCCTCACAGCTGCCATTACATATTCCATTCACAGCTGTCATTACATATTCCCCTCACAGCTGCCATCACATATTCCCCTCACAGCTGCCATCACATATTCCCCCCACATCTGCCATCATATATTCCCCTCCCCCCCCCTTCACATCTGCCATCACATATCCCCCCCACATCTGCCATCATATATTCCATTCAAAGCTGCCAGCTCATATTCCACTCACTGCCGCCATTAGATATTCCCCTTACTGATGCCTTCATATATTCCACTGACAGCTGCCATAATTTATTCCTCTCATAGTTGCCATCATTTATTCCACTCACAGCTGCCATCATATATTCCACTCACAGCTGCCATCATTTATTCCACTCACAGTTGCTATCAAATGTTCCACTGACAGCTGCCATCACATATTCCACTCACAGCTGCCTTCACATACTCCGCTCACAGCTGCCATTATATATTCCACTCACAACTGCCATCACATACTCCACTAACAGCTGCCATCATGTATTTAACTCACAGCTGCCATCATGTATTCCACTCATAACTGCCATTACATTTTCCATTCACAGCTGCCATTATTTACCAGCCATCCCTACCCCATGTTAAGCTTGGCCTGCTACAGAGTGTACCTTTGGCGTTCTTGGTCAAATTTGCAATTACCTACGAGGAGGTTTGTACCTGTGTTTTGTGGACGTCTACATGATTTTTGACTATACATTTTTACACATCTTATCTACACTTAATTATGAAACATTCTATGGAGGACGGCAGAGTCTCTAAGGACATCTTTTATTGTGAATTAAAGACAGGTAGAAGATGTTGATGCCAACCTCTATTATGTTATAAAGACATGTGCTAGCGGGGCATGAATGATACAGGTATTAAGATGGACTCCTGGTAACAAAATGCCATCGACCGTGTTGTGGTGAGGGGGCACATCAGAAAGAGAATGAGAATGATGGAAGAAACGATTGCAGAAAGGATGAGAGCTGAGCGTCTGAGAAGAGACTGACTAAACACAAATGTTGACAACAATGGTCCTGAAATCCAATACTGTAATTTTTTAAGACTTTTCTTAATGCTGGCAAGTCTTGCTAGTCACACTCGCCATTGCCATGGGCTGTGTCCCATGCCTCCTAATAACGCAGTAAAACACTATCATCTGGAAGGATGGAAAGGTGCCAATCTTATAATTCCTTGGACAGCCAAAATGAGTAACAAATGTTTTGAAAAAGGCAAGAGCCTGAAGACAGCTTATTAGAAACATCAGAAAGAGACGGTCATTTTATGAGAAGAGGGAAATTGGAACTTGTTGTGACCACTGGAAAGATCTGTAGAAAAAGAGATAGAGGAAGATAGTGTGAGAAGATTCTTGACATCCTTTTTGTCATTGCATGGAGTGGTGTTAGCAAATGAACTGATAATGCTGTTGGAGAACGCAGTTTGTGGAAAGGTATGATCCCCTACGCCAGTCAGCAAGGCACTTGATGACGAATGAGAGATAATCAAGCTTTTCTTCAATCTTGTTTCAGGCATTCTGGAAGCAGGACAACAGCAGATTCCACTACGGGTTCCAGTCTGTCCTGGAAAGTCCTGAGTTTGGACCCGTAGGTATTGTTTATGATGCAACTTCAGGCCGGGGCAATCCAGCACTGGCAGGTTTTGTCTCATCTTCCCATTGTTTCGATAGTGATGTAAGTATGATAGTGATCTAAGTGTGATAGGGATGTAATTATGTTAGTGATGCAAGTATGATAGTGATGTAAGTATGATAGGAGGGAAACACATCTGATTTTACAACATGCTTGTTAGGGAAGTAGTGGGTGTGTTCTATCCCTCCCTTCCTCCCCCACTCCCACACACACACACACACAAGGGGGCCCTAAAACCCACATGGGGAGCTAGATATTTCAACATGCAGCACAGTATCTGCCAGGCTGACAGTTTTAACCTCACATATTTGCATTTTGGTTAGTGTCACCTTTGGATAAGTGCAAAGCAGCCTTCCACAATTCAGAGGGTTCATTGATTAGTTATTTAATGTGTAGTATTAGATTAGGCCGTTCACTTGTTTGGTAGCATCAGTTAATGCATTCTGGTTAATTGTGTTACTCTTTTATAGTCCAAGTTTTCAGATTTATCCAGATTTAAACAAAAAACAAAATAATAAAGGACTTACTTCCACACGTCAGGACATTTTAGTATATGGTACTAACCCCATAACTATAGACCATTCGGCACTCGGTGTTCTCTTTAAAATTCTCTTATGCACATAGGACACATTCATAGTGTAGTTTTAAATTCCCTTGTGCACACTGGGCACACTCATAATTCATAATGCAGTTTCAAATTCCATTGTGCACATAGGGCACATACAGTGTGCAGTTTCAGATTCCATTGTGCACATAGGGCACACTCAGTATGCAGTTTCCAATTCCTTTGTGCACATAGGACACACTAAGTGTGCAATTTCATGGTGCACATAGCTTTCAGTTTTGTTGTCTAGTGTCTTGTCTAGTTTCTGCTGCCATATTTTGTCATCTTGTGAGTTTAAATTAATGCTTGAGATTACATGGTCTTCTCAGCTTACCACTTGAGTTCCATTCCAACTAAATAGGTCATAAGTTGAACTAGTCCAAAGTCGAGTTTATATTTTTTCTAAATTATTTTCTCCTTCTTCTTCTTCTTCTTCTTCGCGTTCACCAGCTGTAGACTCTGGCGGAAAGTTCTGGTTGCTCGTCCACTGCAGTCCTGCTCCAGAACCTGAGTGTTGCGTGTGCATCAGTTTTACAAATATCATTCTCTTGAATACAGACTGTTGGTTCCTTGCCTCTCCGGCAGATGGAATCCGACTTCAAAGGAAGCTCCCCAATTAGTTGACTCTTAACGACATGCTTTTGGGGAGGCAGTGGGTCTATTCTTGTTTTCCCAACAATGGGGCCCCGGAACCCAGACGGGGGAATTATTTTATTCAAACGGTTTATACAAATTGTGCATAAAATAAGAAAACCCAGTCACTGTAGGTATAATTATTGCGCATCATATGAACTCTGTTGCATCTGTCCCGGGAATTTTTTTTTGCCCTACCAGTGTGATCTTTTCTTTATTTACTTATTTTTTAAAAAAATGTTTATGTGCTTGTACGTGCAGATGGTCATATGTCAAGGAGGAGGTTTATATTTTTCATGATAGTTGCCTGTGGCAACTTTCTATCAACTCATAATGAATAATTTGTTCTAAATGAATGCTTTGTTTAATTCAGCCACCCATGTTGATGTTGTTTTTTATAATTCTTTTGTAATAAAGCTGTTTGAGTTGCTTTCAAGTAAACACTCCTGACATTAACCTGGTTGTTAAGTTAGTTAATCGACAGAAGACTGTAAGCGCTTGGATCACATTTTTTGTATATCCCTCAGCCTATGGTGACTGACAACACCAGTTCTGTGCTGGTTTACTATTCTTCTTTGGCTACCTGAGTAGTGTTCATGTTTGGTGACACCTTTTTTTTTTACCTGAAGTTCTTGTTGTCTTTTGACTGTTGCTGATTCAATGTCATCTCCTGAATCTTCTTCTCATCCTGCCTCCTTGAGAGCACTGAGAATGTCAGCTCAGGCGATTGCTTTTCCTTTACCTATCATGGCCCTGCCAGCAACCCAATCTACTCATTCATTCCCTCTTACTGTTAATTTAACTTATTCCTGTCACATTTTGTTTATTTTCATAAACGTACTGTTCATTTTCATTAACGTACTGTTCATTGTTCTCGTGTACAGCCCAAAAATAGAAGAGCCATCATCATGAGGCTGATAGAGAACTTGCTGGGCCCTCAGTGCCTTAAGGTTTTGGAGTTTTCCCAGATGGACTGGAGCAAGGAGCCTTACAATGGAGGCTGCTTTTTGAAGTCTCTCATGCCTGGGACAACAAAGTATTTTAACAGTGAACTAAGGGAGCCTTTTGATCGGTACGTCTTTGAATATAATAGCACTGTCACTGATCTGTGAGAGAGAGAGATATATATATATAAATATATATTTGTATATATATGTGTGTGGGTGTGTGTATATACGTATATATAAATGAAGCAAATGTTAGCTATATTTTGAAAAAATTTGTAATCTTCTTTAGTCCCTCCTTTCCATTTGTCACCCTTCCTCTATCTCATTCTCTCTCTCTCTCTCTCTCTCTCTCTCTCTCTCTCTCTCTCTCTCTCTCTCTCTTTCTCTCTCTTTCTCTCTCTTTCTCTCTCTCACTCTCAGGGGCTACACAAGCACAGATCTGCATGGCATTGATTATGATTTTTATGAACTACTGACATCAGTACACTTGAGACAAGCCAGTAAGTGCTCTGTCTCTCCCAGCAGAACTTGACAGGTTTGGATATTTGTGCTGGTTGTTAATAGCTCTATACCAGAGCCATCCTCGTATCTGGTATGGAATATAAAAACCAGAAAATTGCCAGTCTGCCAGATTCAGACTGCTTGTTTGCTGTTACGTGTTTGTTATATAAACTCTCAAAATACAAACATTTACTTTTCTCCTGTCTCTTTCTGAAGTATAAACATGAATGTTGCAGAGTCCACTTTGCTGGGACTGAATCTGCCACTGTGTGGTGTGGGTTTATGAATGGTGCCATACAGTCAGGATTTAGAGCTGCTACAGAGGTATGTCTTGTTATCTTATATGTTAAAATAGATAACATACACTTGGTTATGTTTAAAACTTACCCAAAGTATTTCAGGATCCTCACCAGTGCTACGGAGTTCGTTCCCTGCGCTTAGATTTTTGGACTCAGGCGTAGAACTGAGCACTTATGGGTTACTACCCGTGTACCATGATGTTGATCTGTCGTCTAAACCTAAACCTTAATCTTGTCTGTTACATTTCTTTGGGAAAGAACTCTAATTAAATTTAAGAAGCTTGAATTTTTCAACTAGCAAAGAAAACGTGTTGAATGTAACCTTTTGCTATGCTGAGCTTTTGAATGAAGATTGAAAACAAAATTATAGGCATTTGTTAATTATTGAATAAGATCAAGATCTAGAGTTGCCAAAAAGGCATTTAGAAACGTTCCTGACAACAAGTAATGTTAGATTTGGACTGCGGAACGAGTAAACTACATATATTTGCCAAAGCACTTTATGATTCTAAAACTTGGACTTCTCCTCTGTGGGTTCTTAGGCCCTGTTTTGAGGGATAAAGAATAGCTCCCTCTCAAGCATGGCATAAGGTGCAGTTTATTAGGGGTTTGCTAAAAACGGTTGTGTTGGGTTAGAAATGTGCAGGTATTGTAAAGAAGCTGTACATCACAACAAAATGTGCCAGCCACCCTTTTAAGGACAAACAGAAGAAAAAGAAGCATCCTCTAAACTCAAAAGATTGTAAAATCTTGGAAAGTGTTGAGATGTTTCATTGCAGGTTGTAATCAGCTGGTTAGAAAACAAACAGATCAGATTGACAAATTCTTGATGACTTTGTTCAAAGCAGACAATTATAGAACATCATGCAAAAGCTTGTTTTAGCTTGGTCACACAATATGAGACAATGTGTGTTGCCGGAAAATATTGTCAGTAACACATTGTATTTTTTTTTTTTTTTTTTTTTTTTTCATTTTTTTAAGTTGTTTCAGATTTTTGAAGGACTTTCAGTAAAAGAAATGCTTTCATGTTACACATATATTTATACACAGACAAACACATACACATGAGCTCATTCTCAGACTATTTAGCTGTTTCCCATTTGATCTGTATTGATCATTTGGTCATACAGCGTCATATACGAATTAAAATAACCTGTCACAGACACACTGCAACTACACAGGAAAGTGGGAGCTTCCCTGGTTTAGTGGCTAGACGATCACCTGCAGATTCAAATGTTATGGGTTCATATCCAAACGGTGCTTGGCTTCCCCCCCCCCTCCCCCCACAAAAGATCATGGCTCCCAAGTCAACCCAGCCTTAAAATGTGTACCTGGTAAAAGTCCTGGAAAGTAAAGGGCTGATGTGTTGTTGACCACACTACCCACCAAGTGCTGATTGGTATATCAAGTATAGATCTAGCCCTATATGCCTAATGCACCTGAAGGTGTGGAAAGGGGTCCTTTACTTTTCACACAGGACAGTAAGTAAAGGTAAAAGGTAAAGTCGGGAGATGTGAACCCGCGTTATTGCACACGGTTATAAACCATAAGTGCTCTGCCACCAGTACGGACAGCTGACAGCTCATAAGAATTGTCTGCCTGTGTCGCTGTCCGCACGTAACTGTGTAGCTACAGCGACGTTCCTCCATTTACCCCAGAGTGTCAACTCTGGTACCCATTTCCTAGAGGCTGGGTGAACCCCGGGAACTGCCCAGTCTCGAACATCGATGGTGGCTGCAGAGAGTCGCAGCTGGATTGGAAAGCCAGCCTCTTATCAACTGCGCTATCACGGCCCCCTAGGACAGTAAGTGTTGGTGACCGTTGTTACAGACTGCCTTCACTACACTAATGGCACTTGGTTAAGATTATTATTATTTTTCTCTTACCTCATCCAGGTGCTGTATCACCTTCGACCCCTGATCGTCACATCCCCAGATCCAGACATAAGCAGTCTCAAAGAAGACAGATCATTGAACGGACAAATGCACAGCTCATGGTTAACCTGGGCTGTGCTAGGCATCGGCTTCGCATCAGTCATTTTGCTTGTTTCCAGAAATAACCGCCTTTCACCTCCAACGACTTTTGTAAAAAATATACAACTGGTATTTGACACCAATCGACTTAGCTGAAAAACCCAAAGTGTTTTTTTTTTAGTGTTTTTTTAATAGTATTTATTGTGACCAAAAGTTGAATGTTCATGTCATTTGATGGTTGCCTTTTTATCTGAAACATATCATTGTTGATTGTCACTACCTGTATTTGTTCATGGAAGGTCTTTCACAGACAATTGGTTTATTGTATGGGCAATGTTGATGTTATTACTTTGTGATTTTGCTAAATAGATTTCATTATTTATATAGATTTCATTGCCGGTGATTTGTCGACCGTTTTTATTTAATCCTTATCAAGGAGCATAGTGATTAAAAAATCTCTTAATCTAGGTTAAGTTTTTATCTTCCTCCTCTTTTCTGCTCCTGATCTTATTTTTCCCCTCATTTTTCTTCTACTGCTTCTTACTCTTCAATTTTGTTTCTCCCATTTTTCTTATTTTTCTTTCCACTTCCACCATTTCTCATGAGGATTTTAAGACAGTTTTACAGCAAGCTGTATTTTGTACTGTCACAATTAAAATTTAATTTCTTCTTTTTCTTTCTGCCTTTAAACAAGTTGTTCTGTAGTGTGCAGCCAGGCTTCGATATCTTTGCCCTTCTCCCCAAAACATTGTATTTCATGAAACCTCTTCATTTGTCAAGCACCATGCTTATTAAGGGGCCATTAAGCTGCATGTATTTAACTCTTTTTGTGTGTGGGGAAAGAGAGAGGTGGGAGGTTTCAGCCTGAGGGTTTAGGGAAGTATGGCTAGTGCTGTTGTCATGGACTGTGCATGGTAGGAGAAAAATCCTCAACCTTACCTCAAGTTAAGGGACAACCTGTTCAAGGGTTAACAGCCTGTTAAGAGACAGTGCGTCTATTGTTTTCCCCAGAATGAGCCCAGGAACCCATGCAGGTAAAACTCCATTTTAAGATGATTGTTCATTGTACTGTTATGAGTATAACACCGTTTTAAGATGACTGTTCATTGCTCCATCATGAGTATAAAACAATTTTAAGATGACTGTTCATTATACTGTGATAAGTATAACACAGTTCTAAGATGACCCCTCAATTTACTATTATGAATGTAACTCAGTTTTAAGATGACTGTTGACACCGAAACAGTTAGGTTGATTGTGAATCTTTAAGAAGTTTTTACTTTGAAGATTGGGGTTTAATGTTTGGATTATCTGAGCCCTGAAAAAAAGATTGTATATATTGAATTTAGGGTGTGTAGACACTTTTCTACTGACCCTTTATAAAAAATGTCAACTCCATGATGAGTGTGCTGCAGAGCCCTCTTTCCCTCCCCAAGCTCAGATATCATGTCCATCTAAATTAGTAAGACCAGTACTGGAACTACACGTCTGAGAAGAGGCATATTCGTATATAACCAGGTCATGCTGCAGTATGGAGTGCACAGACTGGCTGATGCAAAGCTTAATTTGCTACTGTTGCCTCCTCATATCAGCATACTTTAGCACAAGATCCAAAGAATTTCATCATTATATATATTTTTACAGACCAACGGCACTAGGTGGGTAGTGTAGTCAACATTACGCCAGCCGTCTTTACTGGGTCGACCTGCAGAGCCATCATTATGTACCTAGCTATTTTACGCAATCACTAGTATATTCTGGGGCCCCATTGTGGGGGGAAAGTAATAGACTTACTGCCTCCTAACAAACACATCATTAAATTCGGCTAATTAGGAGTGTTTCCTGTGAAGTTTGAATGCATGTGCCTGAGAGGCTAGGAACCAGCAGTTCTCCATACAAATAAGCCAGATTTATAAAACTGGATGTTCACACAAAACTCAAGTTCTGGAACAAGACCAAAGTCCAGAAGTAGATAAACAACCGGAACTTTGTGCCAGTTTACAGCCCGTGAACAAGAAGAAAAGATCAAGAATTGTGAATCCAAGCCGGACTTTTTTCAAAAATGACTTGGCTCCCAGGTCGTCCCAGCTTTGAGTGGGTACCGGGTGCAGTCCCGGGAAGTAGACGCGGCCGGCGTGATGCTGACCACATAACCCATCTTGTGGCGATCGGTCTATAAAATATACGTCTGGCCCTATACGCCTAAAGGCGTGGAAAAGGGTCCTTTACTTGTACTTTTTATTGTGAATCCAGGAAGGCTAACCCAGACAACTAATGCCTGGAGAAGTTGGATGTTTAGACCAAAAGGCAAGACTATTGCTGCCATGCTGTAAGAAGGCACATCACAGTTACATCCTCGAATGAGTGCAGAAGAATTAGAATCATGTATAAAACAGTATACAGAAATAAAATAGACTGTTTTTGCAGAAACTAGTAACTTACAATATATTTAGAATTAGAAAAACACTGTGTTTTATATGTAAGTCTGAAGCTGTGAAAGCAGTTTCACACTTCCGACATAACAAGATTCTAAGTCTGCTTCAGACGATATGGTAACAGACTATTTTGTGTGGATTACTCTTTTAATTAGCTGTGTGGATTCCGGGGCCTCATTTTAGGGGCAAAAGAAAAGAATAGACCTACTTGCAGTTTCACACTTCCGACATAACAAGATTCTAAGTCTGCTTCAGACGATATGGTAACAGACTATTTTGTGTGGATTACTCTTTTAATTAGCTGTGTGGATTCCGGGGCCTCATTTTAGGGGCAAAAGAAAATAGACCTACTTGCCCCCCCCCCTTTCTTCCCCTCCCCCCCCCCCCCCCCCACAAGCATGTCATAAATGTCAACTAATTAGGGGATGCTTCCTTCAGAGTTGCAGTGAAAAACCTGAGAGATGAGAAACAACAGACCGACAGTCTGCATAACAAATAAGCTAGATATGTCAAATGGATGTGCATGCAAAACTGAAGTTCTGGAACAAGACCGAAGTCCTGATGTGGACAAAAAAAAAAACCAGGAATCTCAGAGTTGCCAGAGAAGAACACAACAGTGTGGTCATCAGAAAGCAAGACACACCATTGAACATGAAACTTTTTGGTAAAACCTCCTAATAGAGAGTGAGGCTGGTTTGCCTCAGAGAGGATGTGCATTTAAATTTTTTTTTTTATCTTTTTGTTAAATAATTAATGTGCAAACACTGCACAAGATTTCTTTGCTGTAAGATTGATTATATTTATAGCATGTGGTAGTACATGTTCGTGTGGAAACAAATAATGATTTTTTTTTAACTTGATATTCCTGGGAGTATCTATCTGGTCTTCCTAAAGCAGCCATTATATTTCTTCCAAATATTGGCATTTATAATAATTGCAGGTTGTATTTTAAAACCGTTTGTCGTCATATGTGTTGCGTTAGATATTTTTCATGAAATGCAGATTTTTCTTGGCTAGTCTTGCTTGTTATGCATTTTCTAGCTTGTTTCTTAAACTATGTGCCATTATTTTTTTTTTCAATATGTAATGTATTACACTTCAAATCTTCAAGAAGTTTATTCTATGGTGCTATATTTAGTGCAGAATGGATCCACTGATAGCAGCTAGTGCATTCGTCTGTCAGCATGGGCTTTTGAATACAAATCTCACTGAAATCTGGCCGCAGAAAAGGCCCTGCAAAATAAACATAGGGCACTAATGAAGAACTCAAACACACTTTCCTATTTATGACCCAAAAAACATTGATCACAGAGGAAGAAGGAGACATTAAAATTATTTTTTTTTAATATACAATACAGATGCTGTTTTTTTAAATTACTAGGGCTGACAGGTAAAGCCAGCCTAACAATGAATTATCAGGAAATGTTTTGGGAAGCAAAAGTGATAATGTTGTGCTAATTGCCGTTTAAAAAGTGAAATGTAAGACAGACATAGGATCAGACTGCTACAGATCCAGTGGGAATAGGAACTCTGTGCTGGCTGCTCAAGATGGGGATGGAGCTTTCATGGGAATGTCCCAACTGCTTTGTTGTAAGTTCTTAACTCAAAAAGTAGGATTAGCACCATATACCCAATATAACCCAAAATGTGAAAGCAGAAATTTGACTTTTATTTATAAAATTGTTATGCACTCTGTAAGAGAAAAGCTATATTTTGTCGTACATGCTTGGTAGTTGTCCAGCTTGTTTTCATAGTAGACATAACTCTTTCATTACCAGACAACTCACTGGTTACTTTTAAAATCAGGGCTATTTAACTGGCAGCCAATAGAGGCCTAGCAAGTAACATACGGATCCTTGCCAGTTGTATTGTTTTCATGATAGTTCTATGCTACAGCTCGGGTTTCTGGTCCATGATGATAAGTAGCCTGTGGATCTTTGCCAATAGTATTGTTTTCATGATAGTTCTATGCTACAGCTCGGGTTTCTGGTCCATGACGATAAATAGCCTGTGAATCTTTGCTACTTGTTTTAATGATAGTTCTATGCTACAGCTCGGGTTTCTGGTCCATGATGATAAGTAGCCTGTGGATCTTTGCCAGTTGTATTGTTTTAATGATTGTTCTATGCTACAGCTCAGGTCTCTGGTCCATGACGAAAAGTAGCCTGTGGATCTTTGCCACTTGTATCGTTTTAATGATCGTTCTATGCTGCAGCTCAGGTCTCTGGTCCATGACGAAAAGTAGCCTGTGGATCTTTGCCACTTGTATCGTTTTAATGATCGTTCTATGCTGCAGCTCGGGTCTCTGGCCCATGACGATCCTTATTTTAATCATTCTGACCCTCAGTATGCTTAGTAGAATAGTCCTGCTTTACGTGATATGCTTTTCTTAATTCCTATTAATTTTGACTTAGTAATTTAGTCCTGTAATATTCTACTTTGAATCCATTTAGACCCGGACATGCCTGACTTTACGTAACAAATGTTCAACTTGGTTGAATGTCCCTGGTTTAGGGTATAACAGCGTCTAAATTAAACTTGAAGAGATAATTGTAGCAAATGTAGAATTGTAGCTAGCACAAATATTTCAATATTAATCAGTAGGTTTTTTTTTGGGGGGGGGGGGGGGGGCTGTAAATAAAACACAGTTTTGCTAATATGAAGTTCTCCTGTGTTGTGTCTTCTTCGCGCCTTTCCTCTGGTGTTATTCGTTCTTCTTCC